TCATGAGCTGGTGCAGAGGGAAGAGATGGAAAGGAGGCATAGTGAACCCTGACCTCAAGAGCCCCTAGTCTGATGGGAGAAATACAACCTTGCCCTGGGGAGTCTGATGGGGGAGACCAGGCACAGAGGCTGGGACAAAGAGCCAAGTGCAGAGAAGAGCATGGAGCTGCGCAGAAGTGGGAGGAAGCCAGGGCAGGAGCAGAACAAGCCAGGTGGGGTCAGATCGGGCAGGCTTCCCGGAGGCCCCTCAGGCCCCCACCCCTCCCCCCAGGCTCTGGAATCTCGGGGGTCAGGGCTGAGGGACAGCCCCGCCCCCTGCTCCCCTCGGGCTCAGGAATTCCACCAGCCAAGGGGGGGGGGGGTGGCGGCTTCGGCCTCAGTCCAAGTTGGCTCCCACTGGACCAGGAACTACAGAGCCTCCTCGGCCCCCACCGCCACCCAAGCCCCTGAGCTGCCCCCCCACCCCTACCCTCCCCTCCCTGGCTGGCACGGTGTGTGCCAGGCGCTGGCAGAAAACAAACCCGCCGGGGTGGGTTTGAAGGGAGCGGGGTAACCTTGACACAGTTGCGGCAGTCGCTAATGGCAGACACACACTCCGCCTGTTCTGGGGGGACTGTTGCCGTTGCTAGGAAACCAGCAGCCGCGTGAATGGAAATGGGTCAGTAAACCTGGGGAGAGATAGTGTGACACTCGAACCACTGCAGCTGCTCCAGCCCACACCGAAATCCCTCCTCTTCAATATTTATCACTCCCGCCTGGGTCCTCAGTTCCTGCCAGACCCTGCACCAGCCTGGCCCTCAGGCCCCCCCAAGGCTCATCAGGGGATGGAGAAGAGATGGGGGTTTTGCTTATGCACTCCTGGGGGGGGGGGGCAGGCGGGATGGAACTGGTTCTGGAGGAGATTGAACAGGAAACAGAGTCTAATCCCGTGGTGGGGAAGGGGTTAAAAGGTCAATTCACGCCTGTTCCTGATTTAGGCACCGTGGTAAAATTACTGCGTGTGAGCTGGCTTGTGACTGCCTGTTTGCCTACCTGTGGAGGGACTGATTAAGACAGGGGACCTCCTTCCCAGGGCATAAGAGATGGAGGTGGAAGAAGCACCCAAAACTCAGGCAGGATTTGCTCACAGCCTGAAAACACTCTATCATAGCCCAGCACTCCCCGCTGTAGAGTACAATGCTTCTCAACAGCCAGAACTGACGCACCCAGACACTGAGAGCACCCCAAATGGCCAGGAGCTGCTGACTGCCTTACAATACCATCCTGTACAGACATATATATACCCCAACCAACCAGACAGTCATATTCAGAAAACCCTAACAACACCTCTACCCAGATACCCCCTACGTTTGAGTGACAACTGCAATTCAGAATGGTGTAGTTTAGAGCAACACCTATAAATGCGTTGACAAACCTAGGCACAGGCAGAACTGCAGTGTGTCAGATTGTACTGAATCTTCTATTACTTCCCCATAAGGCTGAACCACCGCCACCCCCACCCTAATAGTCTGCCCTAACCTAGCCTGGTTCTGTGGTTTGTCAGTGTTTTTCTCTCCCTCCCATTACCAATACATTCCAAGCACCCCTGCAACTGCTCTTCTAGACCCACCACCCCACAAGCTAGGTGCCTCCTGCACTGCAGCCCCCCACTCCCTGGAGGATGACTGGACATGATACACACACTCTGTCCCTAGCAGCACAGTCTCAATTCCCCGCCTGACACCAGCTCTAGTTCTTAGGCATATGCCTCTCTGCTGACAACCAAGACCCTGGGAATCAGAAGCACTCACTTGGGTACTATGCCCCCCCACCCCCACCACCACACTGCCACCAGTATTCCTGAAGGGTGTATCTTGGGAAGGGAAGCAACTCCAGCCTTCTGGAGGGGGGTATACCTTGACAGGAATCTCCCAGCTGACTTTGTTCTGTGTGCTCCTGTCTCCTAGGCTACATCAGTCAACACAGGCTTGGAGCCTGTCAGAGCGGGAAGGTGCCTGAGGGAGTCACTAATCCAACCTCCTCCACTAGGCAGGAGGAAACTGAGGCCCAGAGAGGTGAGGCAGCCTGCCCAAAGTCACACAGACCAACGGCTGCTTCCAACCCCTTTCTTTTCTACTCGCTGACAGCCCTCTACTGTGTGAGCAAGCAGGTGGTGGGGCAGCCAGTTTCCCTGAGGTAGAGGGAGCATCTGTAGTCCTAGAGAGGATTTATGAGAACTGCCAGTAGCACATTCAGAGACATGGGTGCCTGGCAGCCCTGGAATCTGGGCCACATAAATTTGCTTCAACCTGGACTTTGCCCAAATGACCTGGTGGACACCCATCCCCACCCCACCCTTTTTCAGGGTCCCAGAGATTTATCTCCCCAATCAAAGGTAAAGGAAGGTTGCTGTTCCTTATACCTGGCCTTGAACATAAATTCTAGGGCATCCCTGCCCCTTATTATTTAAATAGATCCTGCCAGCAAGTCTCTGCAATGTGGCTGAAAGAGGTGCTCTGCAAGGTAGTTTTTATTTCAACTCCATTTTGCAGAAAAGCCAATGGAGGCTCACAGAGGTGCCGTAGTATTCTCAAGTTCACAGACAACAAATGGAGCCTTAAGTTCCTTCCAGTACACAAGGCAGGCCAATCCAACAGGAAACAGGGAGAAGTGAGGGGGGAGGGAAGGGTGGGAGTTGACAGGCCCAGGCCCAACATCCTGGGCTGAGGGGAGCCAAGAGGCATCTGAATTTGAATCTGGGTATGTGGGTCCCACCCCCTCCCATCTAGCAGTGGAGTGAAAGGTCAGCTTGGAGATGGGAGGGAGGAAAGCAGAATTCCACCAGCCTCTCGGCCTGCCTGCCCAACTTCCCCAGCCCAGAGCTCTCTGCTGCCACCATTACTGGAAAAGCAGATTTCAGAGGAGACCCAGCCCCCTCCCTGGGCCTCAGTTTCCCCTCCTTTTGTAAGAGCTGGCCTAGCAGGAAGGTTTTCTAAGGGCCCTTCCAGTTTTAACATTGTGTTAGTGACCAGATCAGTCCTCAGTCCCCAGCACAAATTTAGAAGTTTCTCCCCCAGTCTGCAGCTGAGAACTTAAATATACGCTTAAAGAATATAAATGAACATTCGATAAAACCAACCTCTTTCTAGCCTCTCCTCCCCCCAACAGGACTGAGAGGCACTACTTACCTTGAGGAACCAAATTTCAGAGCTGTTGAAGGGGAAGGGGGCTGAACACCTTGAGGGCTCTGTACTGGGTTGGAGCTTACACAGGTGCCTGTATTTCCTGCCCTGACTGCGCGCAGACAGCATGCTAGGTGCTTGAAATTTACAACATCAGGCCCCTGAACAAGGTCATGGTCGACGTATATTGTTTCTCGAGTGAGGAAAGAGACTAAAGAGTGAAAGGGACTTGCTCAAGGTCACACAGCCAGTGAGCAGCTGAGGAGGAGTTGGGACTGTTACCTATTCCCACTGCTTTTGTTTAACACGGTGAGGACGCTGGGTCGGGGCGGGCAATGAAGGTGAGCAGGGACCACCGTCAAGAGAGGGGTCGACCCCAGGCAGAGGCGGTGCCTGCTGAGTCGCCAAAAGGCTCTGGCGTCTGCGGAGCACCAAATGGTACTGGAAAGAGCCAAGTTGTGGGAAAGCATCCCCTCCCCTCCCCCACAAAGAACAGGGTGGCCCTTTTTTGCCTCCCCCAACCCAGAGTGCCAAGAGCGAGCCCTAAAAAGTCACTTACCGACTCCCCTCGACCTGGGGGCCGTTGTAAAAGGACGTCCCTCCCTCCCGGGAGCCCTTTCCTCGACTTCGGGACCTGTAAGGTGCAGAGTCGCCCCCCAAGAAACCTGCCGCCGCCGTCGGGAAAACCGTCCAGGGCTGTCCGGCGCGTCCGCCCCCCACCAGCTCGGCAACCGCGGGGAGGGGGCGCGGGGGGCTGGGAGAAGACGCCTCGCCACCCCCGGGAAGCCCTCACGGCTCCCGCCCGAGCACGAGGCTCTGGTCCAGGGCCCGCGGTTCTCGGCCCGACGGTCCGCCCCCGACTTTTCCCGCCGCCGCCGCCGCCCGGGATACCTGGCAGGCCCGCGCTGCCCCCGATCCTGCCACCCCCGGCCCCTCCCCGAGGAGGCCGCGAAGCTTCTGACTCCTGGAGGAGGTGACGGGCCGAGAGGGAAACCAGGCGGCTGGGGGAGGGGCGTTGCCTGCACCTGGCCCCTCTCCGCCGCCCGGGCCGGGAAGGGCGGGACTGGACCCCCGCCAGCCCCGAAAGGCGCGGCGGGGGAGGGGCGGGTGCCTCTTCCCCGCGCAGCCCGGGGGCGGGCCCGCCGCCCCACCCCTGCAGCCCCCGCGGCGGCGGCGCCCCCTAGGGCCGGGCTCCCAGGCGCCCCTTCCCGAGCCGCGCGCCCAGCCTCTCCCCGGCCGGCCGCGCTCTCCAGCTGCAGGAAATTCCAGAAGCTCTCCATCATCCCGGCGCAGCGCGCGGCCCGGGCTGCCAAGGCTCCCCGAAGGAGAGCCACATGCCGGCCGGCCGCGCGGCCCGCCCTCGCCCCCCCGCCCCGCCCGGCCCGGCCCGGCCGCCACGTCGGGCCGGGCGGGCCCCCCCGCCCGGCCGCCCCTTCCCGCGCCCCGGGCCCGCCGGAATGCGTGGCAGCCCCGGCCGGGGGCTATTTTGAGCAGGAGGGGAGCGGCCCGGCCTCCGTGTTTTCGGCTTTTTCCTGGCCCCCGGCCCGCCAGCCCGGGCCCTCGGCTGCCCGCGGAGTTGGGGGGTCACGTGGCGGAGGGAAGGGGAGGGCCCCGCGGTCCGGCTCGGCGCGGGCTCCGGCCCAGGCCCGGGAGGCTGCCGGCCGCGGTCCGGACCTGCGCGCTCGTTAACCGAGCGCCCGGCTCGCGCGCCGGCCGCGGGGCGCCCGCTACCTGCGGCCCCTCCTCCCGGCGGCCGCGCTCGGGCACTCCCTCCCCGGCGGCGCACGCGGGCCTCACTGGATGGCGCCGCTCGGCCCGGCGGCCAATCACCGGCCTCGGTTTCCGTACCTGTACATTGGGGATGAGCGACTGGACTTTCGATGGTGGGTCCCAAATAAAGGCTTTCCTTGCTGTGTGCCTCTCCTCGGGCACAAGCGCCCTGCCTTGGGGGGCCCCTCAATTTTCCTTGTCCCCTTTGTTAAATGAGGGGGTCTGAGAGGACTCTCCAGGGGGAGACTCCTTTACGTTTGAGTCAAACAGCATCCCTTAACTTAACCCTTTTAAGCTTAGTGACCACCCAGCGGGAGCAGCGAGCCCTGGGCGCTGGCCCTGCACGATTAAGGACGGTTACCCCCTTTTTGTTGACGGGGAAACCGAGGCTCAGGAAAGTTAACTAACACAGCACACAACGGCAGAGGCCATCAGATACATTCGGGCTGGTTCCAGGGTCTGAGTTAATTACCATCCTCTAGTGCCCAGACAAACAGGACAAGCAGGACAAACACTGTCCCCTTTTTATAAAGGAGGAAACGCTCAGAATGAGATTTCCCCAAAGCTGCCTCTGGCGAGTTAGGGGCAGAGGTGAACCCCCAGCACAAATCCTGGCGAATCCCCGTTGCAGCTGTCTGACTCTGCTCAGCTCCTGGGGCCCAGAAATGGACACAGAGACTACTCCAGGGGCACCCAACTGTGTCCAGAGCCCAGGGGAATCACCCCGTCCCAGACTCCTGACCCCAGAGTTTACTAATCCACCAAATTCTAGACTTAGCCCAGTCTGAGAGCCATGGGGGTAGGGGCATGTGGGGGTGAGAGGAGATGGCATTCAGGGGTAACAGCCTGGGACAAGGCCTGGAGTGGCTTCCTGCCCCCTTCTCACCCCCCAGCAGGGAAGCACAAAGGCTGGCAGGCCCCCCCCACTCCGCCCCGGAAACCTGGCAGTTTATTTCTGTCTCTGGGCCCCCTGTTTCCACAGAGTCAGTCCAGGAAGGCTGGCAGCAGCTGGCTTGGAGGGGTGGAGCTCCTGCTCCCTCAAGGGTCCAGCTGCTACCCTGCCCCACCCCCACCTGCCAGGCCAGACCAGTCTCCAGAGTCAGAGGTGACACTGGGATGAGGGAGGCAGGAGCTGGAGGCCAGTTGGTCAGGACTCCCAGGCTGGAACCTCCCCCCCCCCAATCCCAACTCAGAGCCTAGATGCTCTCGGGGTGTGCCAGTCTGCACCCAATTCGAGTGTGTTAAGAGTAAGAGTATAACCTCTGGCATGTCCAGCTCTGTTTATTCCAGATCATTCTGGCTCGTGACTCTTCTGGCCCCTGGTCGCAAAGAAAAGCCTGCTTCTAAACATATGCTGTCCAATATGGTAGAAACTAACTTCTGAGTACTGGAAATGTGACTAATTGGAATTGGGATGTGCAGTAAGTATAAAATATACAACAGACTTTGAATTTAAATATGAATAAAGTAAAATATCTCATTAATAATTTTTATGATTACATGTTGAAATGGTAATATTTTGGATATATCGGGTTACATATGATATTAACAGTAATTCATTTCTTTTTACATTAATGTGGCTACTATAAAATTTAGATTACATATGTGGGTCCTATTACATTTCTATTGGACTGTGCTGTTCTAGATCATATAGCACTCTGGCTTGGGACCAAAGCATTGCCTGCTCTAGATCTGTGTCTGTGTGGCTTCTGCTCACCCATTTCCCCAAATCCATACCACAGTGTTATGTGTGGATCTAGATCTCACCACCCCATACCACCCAGCCCAGCTTTCTGTGACTCTAGACTCAGCCAGAGATTATGACTCAGTCTGCTTAAAACTACCTGCCGAGTATATTTCTTGTCCTCTAATTTCCAACATCTCAATCCCAGCAAGCGTGTGGCTGTACATCATCGTCCATGTTAACCAGTCATGTTAACCAGACATCCCAACCTGCTTGCTTATTAGATAAGCAATAAGATTTAAGACCAAGACACCCTTAGGAGGAATGAGATTCTAGATCAGGGGTAGCCAACTATGGCCCAACTATGCTGTCTGTTTTAACAATTCAAGTTTGACTGGAATACAGTCATGCTCATTCACGTATGCACAGTCTAGGACTGCATTCAAGGGACACTGGCATACTGAGTACTCATGACAAGAGACCAAATAAGTATCTACAAAGCTTAACATTTTTACTATTTGGCTCTTTACAGAAGATGGCCAACTCCAGTTCGAAAGGACCAATAGGTCCAACTCACAATAAATCTAGATTCCAATCTGAGACTATGGTCTGGTCTAATCCAGATCATCTCCTGCTCGAAGGTACTGCTGATCAAGGTCTAACCTAAAACTTAACATAGGCCCCATGCTGTCTGGCTTCTGCTCTGGTCCCAGGAGACAGGCACCAGTACTCTTCTCTGGGACGGAAAGGGTGCCTTCACTCCTGAACTCCCCGAGAGAGATCAAGGCCCACTGGCCCTACTCAATGGCCTTGGGAAGGAGGAAGGACAGTAGATTCTAGAGACAGCACTGGAGGCGGAGTCAAAGAGTCAGGGGTAAGCCCTTCTTTGCCAAGGGGGCAGAATATAATCAGACCAAGATGGAGCAACAGCACACCCCACCCCTTCCCAGCAGGTTCAGGTCAGGTCACTTAGCTTGGGGGTCATGTGGGACTAAAACTCAGAAGCTACACCAGGGGATTCCAAGTGGAATCTTCCTCTCCAGTGTCTTGGTCCAAGCACCTCTGCCCATCTACCTCAGGCTGAGCAGGCACCAGTATCCCCCTTCCCCAGTTTACTTCTAGCTTTGCTTTTCCATCACTTTCTTTGGAAATCCTTCCATAGCTGCCCCTGTCACAACCATTGCTCCATCCTCCATCCCAGAATGCTAGCCTTCAGCAGATAAGGTCATGGGCTCTGATGCTGACAAGCCCAGGTTGCAATTCCAACTGACTTTGGGCAAGTCACTTCATCTCTCTAGGTTTCCTCATCTGTTAAACAGAATTGTAGTAATGGCATCTACCTCAGAGTTGTTACACGGACTTAACAAATCACGCATATCCCTTTGCCCGGCACCTGACCCAGAGTCAGCATGTAATGTTCGCTGCTATTTTTATTAGTATTGATCACCTAGCTTGGTTCCATGACACTTGGGCAGGTTTGTAAACCTTACAAATTTTTTTAAAAAATTTATTTATTTATGCATACAAGAGCTGGGGTGTAGGCCAGAGGTGCGGGGAGGGCGTGAGAGGATTAACTTCACAAATTTTTTTTTTTAAAGATTTATTTATTTATTTATGCACGCACTGGGTACAGTCAGAAGCACGGGAGGGTGAGAGAATTCACCAGAGCCAGAGCGGGGAGCAGAGCAGGCAGAAGGACCGAAGTACACTGCTGAGGGGAGCAGCGGGCGACAGGAGAGGTCTGCGCGCCATGTGGGACCCTCCTCCGGTGGCCGGGGAGCAGCCGGGGATCGAACCAGCGTTGCAGAGGCTGCGGGCAGCTTTGCAACCCAGCGCTCAACCACTGCGCCACCGGGGAGGCCCAACTTCACAAAATTTTAACCAAAAGTTGTTTAGTTGTTTTTTCTTTTTTTCTTAAGACAAGGCCCATACTCTCATCATCTTCTCAAAATGGATCCTTAGCCCAAATAGCAAAAAAAAAAAAAAAAAAAAAAGAAGAAGAAGAAGGGGAGAGGGGTATGGCCTTTAGTTAAATCCAAATGGAGAAAGCAGCAAACGGAAGGGAAAGGACTAGCCCAAGATGCCTCATAAAATCTGGGGCAGGGCCTCCCGGGTGGCGCAACGGTTGAGCGCTGGGCTGCAGAGCTGCCTGCAGCCTCTGCAGCGCCAGTTTGATCCCGGCCACCAGCGAGGGTCCCACATGGCGCAACAAACCTCTCCTGCCGCGCCCGCTGCTCCCCTCAGCAGTGTTCTTCTTCAGTCTGCCTGTTCTGCTCCCCACTGTGGCTCTGGTGAATTCTCTCACCCTCCCGCGCTTCTGACTGTACCCAGTGCTTGTATAAATAAATAAATAAATCTTTAAAAAAAAAAAAAAATCTGGGGTAGACCCATGGCCAGCACTACAACGTCTCCCAACCCTACTCTTCCACTAGGCCAACCTGTCTGTCTCTTTGATCTGACCTTATCACTTCTCTTCTGCTCGGCCAGGACAGCCCTGCAGGGCTCTCCACCTCCAAATGCCTCCACTGACTCTCTTCCTCTACCTCATAGGGATTCACCTTCCTGGAATCTCATTCTCATGACATGGGGTCCCTGCTCCCAAACCTTTAATAGCTCCCAGCTGCTGCTGACAACATCAAGGCTGAGGTCTTCAGCCCGACATTCAAGAGCCTTCACATCAGCTCTGGCCCCGCCAACCTCCTTGCTGTTCCCTCTCATCTGGCCAGTGGAGCTGACTTCTTCCTCTCCTGTCCCCGCCTCCCATGATCTCCCACCCACACACTCACTCAGTTCTGGACAGATTCTGCCCCTTTGCTCAATCACACAGTGTCTGAGGCCCAGCCAGCTGCCTCCGCTGTGCCCTCAGGGTTGCCCCTGGGTTCAGCCATTCTGAACTCACTCTGATCAGGCCAGGCCAGGGTATGCTGACCACAGTGCTGGCTCCAGGAAGCAGGCCTCTGCCCCTGCTCTCCAGCTCAGCTCCATCCCTGGACACAGACACCCCCTTAGCCACTGCTACATCCTCTCCAACTAACCTCTCTCTCCCGTCCTGTCCTCTAGACTTTCAGGAACAGCACTCCTCTCGTCTCAGGTGTCATAGGGAGTCAGAGGCACGACTCTGGGGTCAGATTCTTCTCTTTGAGCCTCAAAGTCCTCATCTGTAAAATGGGAACAGCAATACCTACACCTCAAATAATTGCCATGAAGAACATATGTCATATTAACTGGACGTCACTTTTTCTACTAAAACCTACTATACATATAACACTAACAATAGTATTACAAGTTTATAAGTCTACTTAAAATGCAACAACCCTGTAGCCTGACCACCCCCTAAACCCTTTCCCTGTTTCATTTCTCCCTTTGACACTTGGCAGCATCTAGCAAGCCATGTCTTTTACTTGTTTTTGTGTTAACGGTTTCATCTTCCATATGTAAGCTCCTTGAGGGCAGGGGTTTTTTATTTACTTTGCTCTCTGCTGTGTGCCCCTGAGAAGTGCTGCCCCAAGTGTGCGACTGGCATTTGCAGAATGGATGAATGAACCAAGTGCTGCCACGTTTCAGGCACTGTGCTAAGCACATCTCCCAAACCAGCTCATCTTAGGAGATAGGTACTTTCATGACCCTCATTTTGGAAATGAGACTTCATGTGGCCTGCCCTGCGCACACGCTAGGAAGCAGCCTGGCTAGCGTTTGAGCCTGCCCTCTTGATCACTATGCTCTATTTCCTGTCCAGATGGAAGGTTATTTCTATTTCTACATTAGCTAAGCCTCTTGAATCTGTCACCCTCCTTATCTCCCTAGGGCTGTCACTCTGCCTGTGCCCCTGAGGCCACCAACCCTTACCAACCCTCCCTCTGACCTCCCACTTCTCAGCCCTGAAGCGCATGGCTCATTTCTACCTTGGGGCCTTTGCTGATGCCCTGCCTGCAAGGTGTTGTTGGCTCCCATATTTTTCTTTTCTTTTTTTTTGTAGGACCCTCGCCGGTGGCCGGGGATTGAACTGACCCTGCAGAGGCCGTGAGCAGCCTCGCAACCCAGCGCTCAACTGCTGCACCACCAGGGGAGGCCCAGCTCCCATCTTTTTCAATACTGCCAGTTTCTCAAGTTCCACCTCTTCCAGGAAGGCTTCCCTCTAGTCTTTAGGAGTTCCTTTTCCTAAGCTTATGTCTTCTTGTTTACTCTGGGAAAACCCAGTGCAGAAGCATGTGTTTACCTAGTCTATGCCTCATTGTTTCCTTAATTTGGCTAAGGCTTGCCCACTTGTGGCCCTTCCCTGGCCAGGTTACTCCCTCCCCTCTCAGCCCTATCCCACCCTATCTCTTAATTTGGTTTAAAGCTTTGAAATTAGGAGCCTGACTTTGAGCCTCTCAAGCTCCAGCTCCACTCCCTATTAGCCAGTTTCTTTGGCCATGTCACTGTAGGCCTCTGAACCTGGCTCCATGGGGGTGACAGAAGACCTGCCTCATGAGCACTATAGCGTGCCTGGCACGGAGTAAGCGCTCAATGAATATCAGCCCAAATTCTTCCATCACATTTTGTTGTGTCACAACAAAATCCCCCTCCTAAAAGTCTGAGTCCCCTCTTTCCACCTCCCTGAATAGCGCCCCCAAATCCAAAATACGATTTGATGATGATAATGAAATCAGTAACACATATTGATGGCTTATTGTCTAGAGTGACTAGAAATTACATCTGGCACCCAGAATTAACTAACTTAAACCTCACAACAACGGGTGGGGTGGGGCACTATTTTATACCCATTTTACAGACAAGAAAAGTCAAGGCCCAGCGGGGTAAGTGACTTACCATGGTTGGGCTTCAAACCTCAGTGCTCTGAATCCAAGGCAATACTTTCATCCTCTTTCCTGCTCCATGCCAACCCGAGGGGCGGGCCCTTTCTTTCCAGATCTAGATGAATGCTCATCGAATGTCTGCTCAAGAGCTCAAACCTTTCATATTTTCTCTCATTTGAGCCTCACCAAACCCTACGGAGTCAGTGCCATTATTACTTCCCCTGACTGATGGAGGAAACTGAGGCTCAGTGAGGAGTCAAGTGATAAGGGCACACAGGATTCAAAGCCCAGACTCATGGTTTCAACTGCATGTTTGTGATGTCTGCCCCCTCATTGTCTTACACAACTGTTGGTAATTGTTCACGCACAACTGCCTTGTTTTTCCAGTCAGCTGGACAGCAAGCTCCCTGAGAGCTCGGTGCAAGGCCAATTCTCCTCCATGTCCCTGTATACAGCACCCCAGCCGCGTGGCCATGGTCTGCAGTGGCCATGGTCTGCAGTGGCCTCCTGATTGCACCCCCCCATCCGGATGCACCCTGACACTGCCTGTTCCCCATAAAAAAGCCTTGATTTGAGGGCTATGACTACCCTATCAGGCTTGGGGTGGCAAGGGAATCTAGACTAGAGGCTCTCCCCAAATGCCATGTCTCCCAGGAATTCAGGGCCCCCATTTCCCATTCAGAACTTTAAGGAGGCAGCACAGAATGTGGTTTAGAACAAGAATTCTGAATCCCAGGATTCCAAGTTCAAAGGCTGACTCCACCAGGTATTGACTGTGTGACCTTAGGCAAGCTGCTTAACCTTTCTAAGCCTCAGTGTCCTGATATGTAAAATAAGGATAGTGATGGGGTTGCTATGGTGATGAAGTGAATATCTATTTATAAAATAGTTAGAAGTTAGAAGAACGTCTGGGACATCAAGAACTAGCTTGTTTGTTAAGTAAATAAAAAGAGTTCTACCTAGCCACAGGAGGATCCCCTGATAGGGTACAGTGCAAGTGACAAAGCAAGTACTAGTTCAAAACAGACAACTGAAGACTTACAGGCAAGTGGAAAGAGGTGGCAGAGACCTTGTACCTCAGGAAGCCACCATGGCAGGGACCCCACTCCCCCCCCCCCACCACCTCCTCCAGAGCCAGAAGATTCCATTTTCTGGCCCCATCATTCTGATCTAATCCCTCTACCCTAATCACAAACCACTTTCCCTTCCCATGCTCCACCTACTAACTCTCCATGCCGGAACCCAGGCCCTCCGTCTCTTAGTTGCTGTGTGACCTCTAGCAGACCACTGAGCCTCTCTGAGTCTTACTTTCTCATCTCTGAAGGGGATAATCTTCCAGAAATTAATAACGGAAGTCATGCCCAAGGATGCAGCCACAGGTGCTTGGAGATGCGAGTGCCCCATGCCCTGATTACACAGATGGGTGTGCCGTGTGGGGCAATGAGGTGGGGGTGGGGCTGCCACAAAAAAATGACCCCCACTTTCAAAGTTTCCCCAACTGCCCCTAAACACTGCTTAGGTTGCAAACCAAGCTCCCTGTCCTTAACCACCCCCTTTGACATCAAAATACTAGTTTCTTTTGGGGGGGTGCAGGCAGGAACCTCATGTCAGGCCTCTCTTCATCAAGTTACTGCATTTGAGGCCTTGATGCAGACCTGAGGGGAGAAAAGATGGGAGTGGAAGGGACCATAAATGAGGGGGTAGGGGAGGGCCCCCAAGGGGGAGAACCTAGGAGAGTAGAGAAGACCTCCTGGGGTTAAGGGGACAAAGGGGAAGATGGTCCCAAAGCCCTCCTTCTCCCCCACAGTTAACTCGGCAATCAGTGGGCCTGGCCTTCCACCCCTGAAAAGGAAGAGGAGCCAGCGGCAGCAAGTTAGGATAGACGATTACCCGCCGTTAATTAATTAAAATAAACAGCAAATTAAATACAGCAAAATTAAAATAGCACAGGAAATTAATTCTCTGCCAGCCCCACCTCACAGGTGAGATGTTTAAAGGGCCCCTTGTAGCCGGGATCCAGGGCAGCTGGGAGGTCACCAGAACCTGCCTTATACCAAAGCTCCCAACACCCAAATGCCAATGGCAGAACCCAGAGCTACCCATGGGCATATACCTGGCTTTGCCACCCTTAGATTAGACTCCTGCCTCCTCACCCCAGGGGACTTCAAGCCATGGGTCAGATTCCTGAGCTCTAGCTCTGCTCCCCAGTCAGTGGGCAGCAAGGGTCCTGAACCCACTGGGCCTGGGATGGGAACTGTGCCCTCCTGGGCACCTGGCCCACATGCACTACAACACGGTAGGGCAGGAGGAAGCAGGACGTTGGCCTTCTCTTCTGAGTCTCCTGTGGGACTTGGAGTCAGATCCTGGCAGAAACCCCCTCTTTTCCATCCTGAGCTTCTGGCCCTTCATTTGGAGAATCCCATACTGCCTCTGGGGAACCCCTCACTTTTGCTCAGAATGTTCAGGAAGAAAGCACTGTTGAAGTCCAGAGTCTTGGCCAAAGTTGTGAAGACCATGCCTTGAGTACATGCTACCCGAATTCCCTCCCACACAAGACTAAGTGCCACATGGTACAGATGGGGAAACTGAGGCAAAGGACGGCAAGGCATTTGTTTGCAGTCACCCAGTTACTCAGTGGCAGAGTCTGGAGCAGATTCTCTGATGGGCACGTTCCATGTCCCCACTGAAACACTGGATTCCTAGAGTGTCTGCTCAGCTGACCCCCTCTCAGCCTGGCCACTAAGCCTCACTTCCAAAATCCATCCCTCAACTCCCCACCTCCTATGTCCACTCATCAGCTGGGTTAGACTCCTCCATCCACCTTTGGCCTGGTGTTCACAAGACTGAATCCCTCTACTAGAAGCTCCTTCTCCTTCCTCTGCTGGCACAAATTCAACCAGCCTGTGTAGCTGGTCATCCCCATGCTGGTCTTCCCTGAGCCCCCCAGAGTCGTGAGAGGCTTGTCCTCTAGCTTCCCAGGGTACTATGCTGTCATGCCCAAGCCCAGCCCTCTCTGCTTGCCCCACGTGAGCTGTGGTGTCAGGTGCCTGAGCTTCATGAGGTCGCAGACCACCACACCTTTGTGCCCAGCACCTGGCACAGTACCCAGCACTCAGTGGGTGCTCAGTAAGCCTCCCCCACATCTGATGTGCCCCACCTGATAACTGACAACAGTGACTACATTCACTGAGCGTCTCCTGGCTCCCGCACTGTCCCAGCCTAGGGTGGGGGTGCCAGCTCACAGAGGATGTGTCTCTTCTGAGTCGCATGGCTCTGAACTAGAACCCAGTGGTCCTTGCTCCTAAGTGAGTCTCCTCTTGGTCCTGCTCCCTCTTCTAGGCCAGATGAGCAGCACCTCCCACCTTACTATGCAAGTCTCTCAAGTGGTCCCCTGCCCCCACCCTATCCTGTCACTAAGACGTCCCATGATTCCTCATGGCCCACTAGACAAGATCCAAACCTCTGACTGAACCTGGCTTCTAAACTGTCACAGCAGGCATCTGCCCTCTTTGCATCTTTTCCTCTAGATTCTGAACATCACATTTTCCATTTTCCCAGCATACTTCTGGAAAATTTCATGTTTGATTTATGACACTGATTCACTTTCCAGACTTTGCACATGCTGTTCCCTCTGCCTGGAACACCTATCCAATTACTCCTCTTGTGAATTTCTATACATCCCTCAACATTCAAGATTAAGGGTTACCTTACAATCTAGTCCAATTAGACAAGCAACAAACAAGATGGTCACAAAACTGAGAGTTCTGAGGGAAGGACCTGTGTCACCACAGAATCTCAAGGCTCAACCCATAGTCAATGCTCAATCAACATTTGTTAACTGAATAACTGAATGTTCCATATATAATTGGTGACTAAGCAGAGAAATGAGGAGGCCAAGTACACAGGGCTGGAGGTGGAGGGGAAGAGACTGAGGCCAGGAAGGCCAAGCATGTGGTGGAGAGCAGTAACAAACACTGTCAGGGCCGCTCTGCAGAGCTGCACTCTTGGCAGAGGGAGTGTTTGTGAGAGACAGAGGAAGGGAAGTGATTGTGTGAGGGAGGTTCTGAGAAAGGGAGAGAGGGAGAGAGACAGAAAGCGCAAAAGTGGTGAGGCTGTGTGCTGCATGTGGGGGAGTGTACATGTGTGTTGCGTTTGTGAATTAGTCTGTGAGAGGAGGTGAGGAAGTACGTCAAGGCATGTGTTCACATGTGTTTGCAGGGAGGCTGGTGTGAGGTGGATGTGAGAGAGGCTGTGTGTCTCATCTGTGTGCGGGTCCGTGGGTGAGGTGGGGGTGATGTCATGAAGACCAGGGGTATGTTAAATGAGGAAGGTTTTGCGTGTGTGTGTGTGTAGTGTGCACATGTGCACGCATTGAGGTTGTACATGTCTGACTGAGAAAGACAAGGGGACACCTGAGGGGGGTGTGAATGAGAAACTGAGGGTGTGAGTGCCTGTGTGTGTGTGTGGGGGGGGAGGGTTGTGAACACATGCAGGGGGAGATGGTGTGCCTGTGAGTCTGTCCAGTGGGAAGAGGAGGGCAAGAGATGTCAGGGCTCTACCGAAGGGCAGCTGTGGCCTTGGTCACAGGCCCAGTGCCAGAGGTGGGGGCCCAGGGTGGGGGCCACGGTGTCTGACCTAGCAGAGGACTCCTTAAAGTTATCCCTGGAGCCACAGGCACCCGATCACCACGTCCTTAGGCAGCAAGGTTGAGGAGGAGGTCCAGATGTGCGCCTTACATCGGTCCACAGCAAAACCTCTGGGCATTTATTTGTCTTTGTCTGTCCGGGTGTGCACGCCTGTGCTTGTGTGCGCACTGCCGGCTGTGTGTCTGTGCCTGTCTTTGTCTCTGTATGTATCTGAGCCTTTGTCTCAGGGTGTGCGGATGTGGGTCCACGCCTGACCACATGGCTGTGGGTTTGCGTGTGTAAGTATATCTGTGTCTATGGAGCAGCGTGTGCCCCTGACCTGTGCATGCCTGAGTAGGGTTCAAGCACCCCCGGGACAGCCTATTTGTATCTGTGGGCCTATGTGGCCTAAGCGTGACCAAGGGATGATGTCTTTTGAGGCTCTGGGTCTAGAGCTCAGTGAAAATTAGTGAGAGTGTGAGTGTGAGCAAGTGTCTCTGTGTGAGACTCTGTCATGTGTGGTAGTACAGAAATGCTTAACTGTGTCTGTGGGATGTGCATTTGTGAGACCAAGGATATGTGTGTGTGTCTGTGCCTGTGCCTGTGTGTGTGTGTTGGGTGTGAGGGGTTTGTCACAGACTGGTGAGCAAGTTAATCTCAGACTCCGTGACACGTGGAATAAAATCACGCTCCCATAATGGGATCATTCGTCTTCCTGTCCAAGGAGAGAACCAACTCTTCACCCTCCGCCCTGGGGGAGCCAGTGGGGCCAGGGCCAGGCATGGGCCCCCATCCAGGCTCCCTTCTGGCCTCAGCCCCACCCCCAGCCCTCCTGTGCTGCACCAGGCCCTTTCTGCCTCCACAGTGCCCTGGTGCCCAGTGCGGGCTGGGCTGGGCTCCAGGACATGTGACCGAGCCTTAGAGGCCTGTCCCGGGCCCCCCAGCCCCACCCACTGTTGAGGAGGGCCCTGCCCCAGATGGGAGGGGGGTGCAGGAAGGAATCTTTGGGCCCCTCCTCCTCCCGGAGGGGAGGGATGAGCTGCAGGCCTGGCCGGGATTTTCCATCTCTCAGCAACAAGATTCCTGGTGAGCAGGCTGCGGGGTTTGGCAGGGCGCCTGCTGGAGACCCGCCCTCACCCGCCAGGACGCCTGGGTCCCCAGGGCCAGGCAGCAACGGGTTCCCTGGGGAGCTGGGAGGGCCCCAGAACTCTAGCTTACTGCTGCCTGGGTCTGTGGGAAAGCCAGACCCTTCCGGGTTTCACCCCCACCAACCCAAAGACGACTGTCCAAGTGCCCCCCTCAAGGCAAACCACCACCCTTCCTCAGACCTGCCCCCCTGCCCCCCAGTCTCAGTCTTTGCTTCAAAAAGCCACCCCAGGTCAGCCACCCAGCACCACCCACTCCCTGCCTGAACCTCAGCACACACCCAACCTGGTTCGAGACCTCACCTCTGGGTTTGAGGGCTC